ATCCTCACAGATCTCAGAGGAAATTCCTTATGTGATCATGCTAGTAGAGAGAATGGCATACAACTAGATTCTGGTAACAAGTTAGTTCCCAGGGGTTCAAATAGTTATGAGATTTAGCTAATAGTGGGAAGACAATATAGGGAAAAAAATAGACTGAAACAATATCTGATTCAAGGTGTTATCTGTGTGGCCTTGAGCAAGTGTCTTACATATTTTTTTTGGTCTGTTTCCATTTCTAAAAATAAGATTGAGCTAGATGATTGTACAGTACCTTTCAGCTATAAAAGTCTGTCTGTAAAATATAAAGCAAAAGTTAACCATAATATTTTTATGCCAGTATTTCAAGCTTCTAAGTAGCAAATGTTAATAGAAATGATGTTTAAAAACTAGTCCTGAGATAGATCGAATTCTTAAAAGAGATATCAGGAATGTCACAGTTTTTTTGAATCATATGTAAAATATAAAATCTTCTATAAAATCTTCTCAGGTGACAGGGCCATCATCTTATTAGTTGGAAGAATGGCATGTCAACTTCATATAGAGTTCTAAATACCTTGAGTAAGAACCCTCACAGTTGACTAATTGAAAGAAATGTCCTGTCAAAATGCTAAAATAGATGATTAAATATTGTTGAATCATGGAGTGACTATAGAGAAGTTTTAGTCAAATCCTCACATTTTATCATTGAAAAATAAAGTTAGTAAAGAAAACAGCAGCAGAACCTGTGCAAGAACCCAGGCCTCCTGATTTCCAGTCTAGTTCTTTTCACTATTCTTTATGGTGTTTAAGACTTGGCTTCAAGAACAGCCCTTCCAGTTTGTAGAAAACATGAGTTTTTCCTTTAGGGGTATGGAGGCCACTTGTTTGGTCAGAACCTGAGTCTTTGAGGAACTGCTCATTTTTGGTTGCACAGGACCTGTCCCTCACTTCACCCTCCAAGCTGCCCTAACATGATGCCACTCAACACTGAGAATGGCAATGTGAATATTTCATATATATATAAATATATTTTTATTGATTTTTTACAGAGAGGAAGGGAGAGAGATAGAGAGCTAGAAACATCGATGAGAAACACCGACCAGCTGCCTCTTGCACACCCCCTACGGGGGATGTGCCCGCAACCAACGTACATGCCCCTGACCGGAATCGAACCTGGGACCTTTCAGTCCACAGACCGACGCTCTACCACTGAGCCAAACCAGTTTTGGTGGCAATGTGAATATTTCTATCTGGAAACTAACTAGAAGCCTGAATATGATTTGCAGTAATATATGATGGCTGAAGATAGCCAATTCAATCTTTTTCCATTTTAAAATATAAAATTATAGGAAATGATAACCTAACTGTACTGTGCTTGATCACATCACATCGGGAGTTCATTGCTGGATTTAAATTTTAAGACATTCACAACTGGAGGACATCAAACGAGGGCAAGTAGGATGCTGAGGGCTCTTTAAATGTTGTCACAAAGTCAAACTGTTCAGTGACCCCCAGTTTTCAAAGTGCTTTGCCTACATTTATTCCTTTTACAAGTCGGTGAGGTAGGCGGCGGGATAGATTATCCTTGCACTGGTGACAGTTAAAAAATGGTTTTGCCCCATCTCCCATCCTAAATATTTAACAATCTGCCACTTCTCCTCAGGACAAGCAATAGTGTACAAGTGTTTGCTAAGCAAAAGTGAATTTTTTTCATAAGTAAATTATAGAAATAAAGAATGAGTTACAGGAAGGCTAATGCAATGAGGTTAGGTGTGTATAACAAAGCTATAAAGAAGCTGTTGGGATGTGAGGGTAATCTGGCTGCAACGTCTGTCATTCCATTGATCACCAGGGTTGATTCGGCTGATCTGGCTGGCTAGGCAGGTGTTCCCCTCCTCCCTCACAAGTGTCCATGGGTGTCCCTCCTGAAGCTACACGTGGTCGAAGAGGATGACCATCCCCCAGAGGAGAGGATTGGTCTGCAGTCAAGGATGTTCGTGTAGCTCTGCTACCCTGCTGGAACCTCCAAACAAGCTCTCAAGATGCTGCTGCATGAACTTACCAGCACCAAGAGAAAATCAAGTGAAGCCTAGATGGCTGTGTCAGGGATTTAATTAAGCCCAACAATAGTTATTAACTGCCTATTACGAGAGACACCAAATGTCACAGGGGATATTAAAGATGACTAAATCCTGGTCCCTGCCCTTAAGAAGCATATAGGGTAGGAAGGACATAAGTGAGATACACAACTTCTAAAGTCCTTTAAAAAACACAGCTTATAAGCTCAGCCCTTCAGAAGTACCAAAAACTTTCTCTCTCTCCCTCTCTCTCTCTCTCTCTCTCTCTCTCTCTCTCTCTCTCTATATATATATATATATATATATATATATATATAAAATCTCCCTAACATGCAAATAGGCTGAACTGGTTGCTTTGATGTACATTGACCTCCAGGGGGTGCACGTGGAACATGGGGTGATTGGGGCAGCAGCCATTGCTGGCACTCGCTGTTGGCACTGGCCCCAACTGCCATCAGCGGGACCATCAGTGGGCGATGCCATCAGCATGTGGGAGCAGTGGGAGTGGGGCTGCAGGCAGACAGGGGAACAGGGGACTGGAGAGCTGCAGCAGGAGAGGCCAGGCAGGGGCGTGGAGGATGGGCCAAGACCTGCCTCTGTTCCCACCACAGCCTCACAGCCCACAGTTCCTTTCAAGGTGCACGAATTCATGCACTGGGCCCCCAGTTTCTAATAAATCTCTGGGAGGTCCTACTTAAAATAAAATGCTTTAAATAAAATAGTACCCTGTTCTCTACAAGTGTTATACTAAAACCTTGAGGTATAATATAGTTATAGAGCTCATCTGTTTAAGCAATTTTGAGCAGAAGAAAAGAGTTAACAGATTTGAAAAATGATTGTTAGATAGTAAATCATATCCAGTTTATCTAGTAGTATGCTTAAATTCTAGGCCCCTGAACATAATTTTTGAGGAAGAGCCTCTTACACTCCGATAATAAAAACTTGTCCATTCTGTCATTCTTTGTTCCTTTACACTGTTTTTCTTCTTATATGTTCCTTTTCTTGTGTCCCACTGTAATGTCAGCTCCTTGAGGGCAGAGAATATCTGTCTTGTTCTTTGTTGTAATCTGAATTTAGACTAGGACCTGGTACATATTAGAGCTTTCATTTCATTCATTGACACTAGATACATACTTCGTAAGATGTGACTTGGCTGTATGCCCTACCTATTGAATAGCCTTGCAATTCTGCTCTACTTTCTATGTAGTTTAAATGGGCCTTTAAAATTTTTTAAAGCACTTGACATAAATGCCATCCTTCGTGAAAATAAGGATTGCTGGAAAAGTTGCTAACTCCAAGAGTGGTAGGAATAAAGGAAGAATGTGTATCACGTAATTTCATTGGTTTCTTTAGCCCTGCCCCTAGCACCTCTACACTTGGTCAAACAGGATCAGATTCTTTCATCTTCAGTGGTATTCACAAATACTATATCCATTGTTAAGTTTCCACGAATCCAAAGGCAGCAGAATAGTGACAGAATGCTGGAGGTTCTTTTCTATTCTACACTCACTATCTATCATATCAGGAGATACTGAATTTACTCTGGCAGAGGTTAGGGCATACTCCACTAAAGCTTCTGAGATTTGGAATCAGAATGACCCTTCTATGATGAGATAGTTATACGGACTCCTGATGTGAAGATCTAAAGAGGACTACTGAGAATGGGAAATCTTCCTCTCCTTTTTATCTCACCCTCCATTTACTGCTATAGTACTGTTATCAAGACTAAACTTGTAATTAAAAAAAATATATATATATTTTATTGATTTTTTACAGAGAGGAAGAGAGAGGGATAGAGAGTTAGAAACATCGATGAGACAGAATCATCAATCAGCTGCCTTTTGCACATCCCTACTGGGGATGTGCCCACAACCAAGGTATATATGCCCTTCACCGGAATCCACAGGCCGATGCTCTATCCACTGAGCCAAACTGGTTTTGGCTAACCTTATAATTTTTTAACTTGGAACTTAATCAAGAACTTGATTTTTCATTTTAGATGTTGCTCAGGGTGACTCAAAGTGAACAAATGAGAATGTCGGAGTCATCTTTGATTTCCCTTTCTAGTAAATCATCAAGCCTAATGAAAAAAAAAATTCAATTTCTCTCTCCTTTTCACTTTTATTGCCCTAATCCTTCTTATTTACCATCACTCTATGCAACTTTAGGAACACCCAGTTTCATTTGGTGATCCTCCATTTAAAAAAAAGCATTACCATCAAAGTTACCCAAACCCCAATTACTTCATGTTTAATGCTTATTCCTCAGCCTGGAGCTTAAGACATTCTAGAGTTTGACTCCAACTCTTCTATTTTAGTCAGGCTGATGTACCCACCATCCTCTTAATATACTATTCAATCAACACCTAGGTTTTGTGATATTGCCTTGTACAGGAGTTGATATTTTGAGGAGACTCACAGAATTATTAAAATCCTATACATTCTTAATGATCCAAATGAAATTTATTCCCTTCTAGGTTTCTCCCTACCACTTTGTAGCTCTTTTCTTTAAACTTCTATGAAACCCACTATCTCCCTCCATTTTATTAGGATCATATTCCACCCTGAAATTTAACTGAACGCTTCATGATTCTATGCTGTGTATATCAAATAAATAGTCCCTCATCTTATATCAAACAGTCTCTTGAAGATTTTCCAATCTCATTTGTTCTTATTAACCCCCTAATTCAGGGGTCGGCAACCTTTAAGACATAAAGAGCCACTTGGACCTGTTTTCGAAGGAAAAAAAAAACACCTGGGAGCCGCAAAACCATTGCGACATTTAAAACAAATATAACACTGCATATATTGTTTCTTACCTTAATGCTATATACCGGATCGTGCAGAAAAAGGATTTTTTCACTTAACAAAAAGAGCCGAATACGGCTCCGGAGCCGCAGGTTGCCGACATCTGCCCTAATTAAATTAACTCATAAGCATTTAAAAATTTTCTCACATCCTATATTATGGGCTAAATAGAATGACCTTTTTGTATTATCATATAATAATCTTACGACATTACTTCTGCATATGAATAACAGCTTAATATTTTGGAGTAGACAGATGACAATTTTCTTCCTTGCTTTATTATTTTGTATTTCTGAACTATACTTCTGAACTCAAAGAACTTATGTGACTTCTTACCTCCAAATATACTAACATATTTATTTATGAATACTGGAAGAAAAATTAAAAGTATTAACAGATAATTCTGTGAAAATAGCCTAGAATTCATCTAATATTTTTAGACTTAATAAATTTCTATCTATAAAATCAGACTATATCTGGGTACTTCAGAAGTTGTAGCACCAACACTTAAAAACCAGCAGAAAGAGTTTCTGGGACCAGAACGCTCTGTAATGCTAAAGCCTATTTAAGTACTAAACACATGAGACCATGCAGGTGACCTGTATGGAGTATTAGTGATGCAAAACATCCATCTTCTAAGAGAAAAAAATGTGCTGCTTACATGGAGGGAAGAGATACTGAGTAGTTAGGGGTGTTAGTATAGAGAAGCAGAGTCCAACCTAGTTCACATCAGCTCAAGTACTGAAGATAATTGGTCCAGAAAGGCAGTTACAACCAGTGCCAGATTTACAAACACCATCATGTTCAAATATAATAAGGACAAAAAGCAAATAAATACCATTTATTAAAAAACAGTTTGCCCAAGCTAAAACTTATTTGTTAACATCGATCAGTCTGACTTTATTTTTTAAAGATCTTAAACATGTAATCAGGATAAAAAAAAAGTGCCAAAATTTAAAAAACCCATATGCTCACCTAGGATGTTACCTATATTTTATTGGACCACTTAATGTTTTTTAAGAAGTGGAATATTGTCTTAAATGTTTATATAGCTCACTAAAAACACTAGCCTCTAGCAAAGAGCATCACATATAAAAACCACAATGCCTTAAAAAAAAAAGGACTCCTAAAAGAGAAACTCTAGTTTGAATATAGTAAATTGAACCCAGAGATTCCCTTCCAATTATTCTTTAGAGAATCCTTCCAACCTGCAAACCTTTGCCCAGCAGGGCAATAAAAGAACTCTAATTGCTAAGTACTAAAATAAAATATTATTTATATTTCTCTAATTATCTACAGCTCCCTTTCTTCTCTTAGCAGTTGACAATTTAAGATGACTTGTTTTTATAAGCCCTACAGTACCAATATATTCCAGTAATAAATGTATTATTCAATTTATTTTCCCCACATAATTAATATAAAACATCATTTTCTCTATAAAGAAATTTAAAATATACATTCAACGTAACCACGTTACATTGATATTCAATCTGTTTTCTTCCGAGTTCATTTCTCTAGAAGGCCAGACCTTAAGGACTCCTGGAGTCTAGCAATGTTGGCGTCCAGGGCTGCGAGGCCGTTTCGGAAGTCTTGTTCATCATGAGAGGTGAATGTTGAGAAAGAAGAGAAGCTCCAGTCGGACGTCAAGTCAGAATTGAAAAAGCTGCCATCGGAGACCGCGCTGCTTTTCACTTGAACGTGGCACGCAGCCCGCTCCTGCGGCTCCGCGGGGGCAGCGGGGATCTTGCCGATGGCTTCCTTTATTTTCTTGAGGAGCTGCTTGTCCTCCATTTCAGCTGCTCTGGAAAGCTTCTCAGGGGCGCTGTCTGCCTCCCTTTTGGAAGGACAGACGCCCGGTGCGCACGGCTTACTTTCTTTCTCTGAGACAGACCCACTGCTGCTGAGCGGCTGTCGTGGAGCCACACTGATCGGAGGCTGGGGGGATGATGTAGACGGTGGTGATTTCCTTCTAGAAGAACTTCTAGCCAAGGGAATATAAATTGTATTATCCAGATGACACTCACCTTCTATTAGGCTCGGAATTTCGCTCTCCTCAGAATCCTGTTTTGGAAGGGTGGAAATGATTCCAGGGGCTGATACTTCCTCTCTTCTCCTGGTGTGACCGTGTTGAGGGCTTCTGGAAGGCAGGGCGTTTTCATAGGGCCTACCTGGCTCTATGAGTTCCTCATTGGGAATTGCAGAAAGTGGCTCTGAAGGTATGAAAGTGTGATCTGTTTGTAACTTATTTAAGTAGCTCATTATGGAAGTCTGAGCAGAGACTGGGTCATGCTGAGGTTGTTTGTCATAAATGTTCAGAAGTGACTTGGTAAGATTAGTCCCAGACTTGCAGCGAGCAGTGTCCATACTAAGATCTGAGAGAAGCTTTGCCATATTGCTCTGTAAAGTTCTGTTAAGAAGAATTTAGTACATTAATTAATGTTTTACCCATTTCTTACATTTATATATATATATATATACATATATATATATATATATATATAGTTTAAAAAAAAGTATTTGAGGCAAGTGGCCTGGTTCTTAATATGGAGAAAAACAAAACAAACAAACAAAGCCCCACAAAATCATAGAATATGCTCCTTTCCAAAGAGTTAATTAAAATAACAAATTACAGCCGAAACCGGTTTGGCTCAGTGGATAGAGTGTCGGTCTGTGGACTGAAAGGTCCCAGGTTCGATTCCGGTCAAGGGCATGTACCTTGGTTGCGGGCACATCCCCGGTAGGGGGTGTGCAAGAGGCAGCTGGTCGGTGTTTCTCTCTCATCGACGTTTCTAGCTCTCTATCTCTCTCCCTTCCTCTCTGTAAAAAATCAATAAAAATATATTTTAAAAAAACACACACACACACACAAAAAAACAAATTACAAAAGATTCTGGAGTGCATCAAATTTAATATTATTATATCCAAAAATAAAGACAGCATTTTTTTCTCTTAAGGTATGGAGATGCTTTATTCTTCTTCTTTTTTTTTTAAATATATTTTATTGATTTTGTACAGAGAGGAAGGGAGAGAGATAGAAAGCTAGAAACATCGATGAGGGAGAGTCATCGATCAGCTGCCTCTTGCACACCCCCTACTGGGGATATGCCCACAACCAAGGTACATGCCCTTGACCAGAATCGAACCTGGGTCCCTTCAGTCCCCAAGCCGATGCTCTATCCATTGAGCCAAACTGGTCTCAGCAAGAGATGCTTTATTCTTGAGAAACATTGCAAAATAGTAACTATACTGTTATTTGGCAGTTGATCCTATTAGTAATAAAGTTATTTCTCTCAATTTCAAATATATATTTAAAGGACACTGGAGCAATACTTGTAAAAAAGGAAAATTATCTAGCATAAATCAGTACAAACAACAGCTAAGCACTAGGACAAGTGTGATTTAAGGAAAACCACACAGGGTTTGAAGTCAGACAGATATGGAATCAAATCCTAGCGCTACCTAACCTTTCTGAAGCTCAAGTACCTCAATTGCAAAATAAAAATGCCTACTACAGAATTATGATGAACATTAAATAAGATAAAATAATAAAATGTAAGGATAATGTGTTTAGCACAGTTTCGGGCTAAACAGGTGTTCATATATGGCAACTTTTATTGGTCCTATTAAAGCCATTTTGTACTAAGCCTTAGTCTATTTGAATTCAATCACATTTGTCCATATTGACAAGAAACCAATTTTTAAAAGATACAAAGGACATCAATAGGTAATTTTAAAAGCTTGCAACCAGCCAATAAGCATGTTTTAAGAGTTCAACTTTTAATCAGAAAAATTAAAATTTTTTAAATGTGCTTTTTTTGGATTACCAAATTAACATAGTAAAATAAAAGCACCATTGTTAGAGAAGCCTGGAGCAGCAGGTACCATGAGTGTACACTGGTATAACTCCCACACTTCTGACTAAACCAATTTGCACTTCTAGGAATTTGTCCTATTGATATAACTATATAAAAGAGGCTGCACCCAAAGATGTGCTTACAAAGATATAATTTATAATTAAAAAAACAGATGGATTGAACATCTTTATCTTCAAATACAGTAAATTATCATATAACTGCATCATAACCATTTGCAGTAATATTGTAAAGAATGAATATTGATGGGGAAATGTTCATTATATGAGGTTAAATTAAAAAGCAGGCCATAAGTAATATGCATATAATACTATTTTTATAAACAGTCACACACATCTAAATAAAACACTAAAAGGAAATCTCTATATTAAACAGCAGTGATTATATCTCTGAATACAGAATGAATGATTTTTTTTCCCTAAAAAAGAAAAAAAAATTATTTTTCCAACTTGGCTTACACTGTCAGGCTCTATTTTGAGTTCTGATTGCTTTTCAGATGGCAATGGCTCCTGCTATTTTTCTCACATCACTTCCAAGAATCTAATGAGCTATTATTAAAAGAAAAAAAAATGCTATAGGAACATATCTTTAAAGGAATGCTAAAATGAATAATAACCCCCAAATTAATTCAATCAGAACTATATACTGAAATTTCTATTTATTTTTGGAAAAGGAATACATAGTTATGATGAGGTTTCTTCCCTTAAATAAAAATTTTATCTTTGCTGTGGACAAAATAGTGATCAAGAAAAAAAAGAAGAGACAATGACATTGTCTTAGTCTATGGAAATTAATGTCAACCATTAAGTTTCTGATGTTTAAACAAAATGTGACTCATTACTGTCTCTGAAATTAAAAGAAAAATCTCGGTAATTAAAGAAACTGGAATTTTAAGGCACCTAAAATAGCTACAAGGAGAAAATATTTGTGTTTGTATTACATGAAATACAGCTAAACCAGTGATATTTAACTTAGAAAACTGGCATAGTCCTAGCCGGTTTGGCTCAGTGGCTAGAGTAGGGGTGTCGAACTCAATCAGAGAAGGGGCCAAAATCTAAAATCCAGCCTAAATCGTGGGCCGAATGGTTTACTGAACAGTCATAAACTGTCATTGTGATGGAAATGCAGCGGAGCGCAGTGATGACAGCGTGGTGCGGGCCACATTGCAAGGCCTGGCGGGACGGATTTGGCCCGCGGGCCTTGTGTTTGACACATGTGGGCTAGAGCATCAGCCTGCAGACTGAAAGGCCCCAGGTTTGATTCTCAAGGGCACATGCCTTGTTTGCATGCTAGATCCCAGCGCTTGTGGGAGTACCTGTGGGAAGCAACCAATTAATGTGTCTCTCTCACATCCATGTTTCTCTCTGTGTCTCTCCCCTGCCCTTCCATTCTCTCTAAAAATCAATGAAAAAATATCTTTGGGTGAGGATTAATAAAAACAAATAAACAAACAACAAAAAAACACAACTGGCACATTTCACAACACATGCAAGAATCTTTCTTAACTAGTTATAAAAATACTAGTGACCATGTGCACAGATTCATACACATTAAAAGGAAATTAAGTAGAAGGTGGCTGGTGGGATGGGACTGGGCAAGATGGGCCAGACATGCCCTGGAGCCAACCTTCCCTGGTGGGCTGCACCTCGGGTGGCACCATGGCTCAAAAGGCGTTTTCTGAGTGAGTGGGATCCCTCCAGCCGGTGGGGTCCCTTGGCCTGGCCTGCAGCGATTGGCAGAAACCGGCTCTCTCATATCCCCGAGAGGTCCCAGAGTGTGAGAGGGCACTTTGCAAAGTTGCTGTCGTACAGGGTGTGGAACGCAAACAGAAGTGTGTGGTAAACCAGATTTGGGGCCAACAGTGCCCCAGCAACAACATAACCCACGGGCGAAGGTGGAATCGTGCGGCCCCATGAGGAATTGGGCTCACTCCTCTCTGGTTGCGTCTGAAACCAAGAAGTCATTAGAATATTTACTAGTTACTGAAAATATATTAATGTTCCCCAACATTTTATTGGTTTTATATGTTATAGAAAAAATCTAAAAAATTGATAAAAATGGCCCAGCCAGCCTGGCTTAGTGGTTGAGCGTTGACCTATGAAGCAGGTGGTCATGAATTCAATTCCCGTTCAGGGCACATGCCCAGTTTCGAGTGTGGCCCCCCAGTGAGGGGCATGCAGAAGGCAGCCGATCAATGATTCTTTGTCATCACTGATGTTTCTATCTCTTTATCCCTCTTCCTTCCTCTCTGAAATCAGTAAAAAAAATATTTTAAAAAAATGATATAAATGTATTTCAAAACCTTTAATGTATTTAAGGTTGGAGAAAGAAGAGAGAGATGGTTTAGGGGGATATTTGTTTAGAACTTATATGTGTATCTTCTAGTTTCATTATCCCTCCCTAATAGTCTAAGAAAGGCCTTCAGAAATTTTGTGAAATCTCTTTTCTGAGAGATTCTTAAAAACACACATAAAAAGACATCATCTATCTGACTGAAGTGAATTATTGCAGAAACAAGAAACAAGGTAGATGAATGAGAAGATTTATCTATCTGTACTGCTAGCTGTTGTTAGTTTACTTTTTAATGTCGAAGTACAAAGTAGTCACAGGAGCCTAGTATAGTACTGGAGATGTTCCTAATTAATTGAATTGCATAGGGTGTCAACAAACATATTACACATGACCAACATGGTAAATTTAGATGCAAGTAAGCTCCAAGATAGATTTTAAAATTTTGTTTTGCTTTTTAATTTAAAGGACAAAATACATTGGCATCAATGAGTAATACGTACTTGCATTTTGAAGATGTTAGTCAATCTTCAGAAAATGTATGAGTAGTACTAATCTTTATAAGACATTATGCTAAGCCAGCCCACAAATGATCCTATGATCATTTAAAGTTAATCTAATGGATGAGCTGGAAGGCAGGATCCATTCCAGCATAAAAATAAAAAGTCCTTGAAAACAGTGGAAAAAACTGGCAGGAAAATTTTTGAGAGTCTTAGGAAAAGGAGAACAAAACAACTGTGCAATAGTTTAGACAGCCTTTCCTAATAGCAGATAATACACGATATAAAAATAAGCTTTCTCAGTTCCTATGCTTCTGTGTTAGGGTAATGTTAAGAGAAGACTCCATTTGTAAGTGAATCCTTTTTCATTCCTAATGAACACCAGAAAAGGCAGACTGTGTTATTTTTTAAAGAATACATAGGGACAAAGGTAGAAAAATCTCTCAATAATGAGTCATTTTCTCTTCAAGAGAAACTAGCTGTTCTTTTCAAAGCAGTAAGCAAGGCTGAAGAGGGAATCCAAAATCTTGGCTAAGGTACAAACTTAGGCACCAACTAGCTGAGAAAGTCAGGTAAGTCCCTTCATTTCTTTGGGGTTCCATTTATGCTAATTTCTAGAATAATTATACTATCACTTATTCCACGTATGTTAAATAGCTTTTAGTCCACTTTATCCTTTAAAAAATTACGTTATCTCTTTACAAAGTACTGGAATAAACATTTGCTTGATAATATGTTTAGCAACTAAAGTGATTAAAGGTTTTTGTGTGTTTTTCACACATATATTATAGATTTGAAACAAAATATATAATTAATGTTTGTTGAATAAATGAATTAGCAATGAATCCATCCATCTATCTCTCAGATTAAAAAATGCTAAGGTTTACTTAGACTACATTAGCATAGAATTGTTATAAGGAATAAACTATTTTATCTAATGCCATGACATATGCAAGAGTGAAAGAAAACATGGCGATTTAATTTGCCCTGGCCAGGTGATTCAGTTGGTTGGCGCTTCGTCCCCTGCACCAAAAGGTTACATGATTGATTCCAGGTCAGGGCACATACACATCCCTGGTCGGGGCATATAAAGGCATGTCAATAAAGGCATATCCTTGAGTGAGGATTATTAAAAATAAAATAAAGACAGCCCTAGTTGGTTTGGCTCAGTAGATAGAGCGTCGGCCTACAGACTGAAGGGTCCCAAGTTCAATTCTGGTCAAGGGCATGTGACCAGGTTACAGGCTCAACCCCCAGTAGGGGGCATGAAGGAGGCAGCTGATCAATGATTCTCTCTCATCATTGATGTTTCAATCTCCCTCTCCCTCTTCCTTCTTCTCTGAAGTATGTGTGTGTGTGTGTGTGTGTGTGTGTGTATATGTGTGTGTGTGTATGTATATATATATATATATATATATATATATATATATATATATATATCATGGCTAGGTATCAAGAAATGATAGTCTCAGCTCTGTCATTAAGTTTCTATTGATATTTAACTTTCATGATACTAGTTCTCCCATCTATAAAACTGCAGATATTAAAATCTTCCTTCCAGAGTTGAGGACAAAGAAAACAATAAATATGGGGGAGAGAGAACTTAAAAAGAAATCAAAGTACTTTATAAATAAAAGATAATAGCTTCTGATTTCATGCCTATAAATGCCAAAGTACTTTATAAATAAAAGATAATAGCTTCTGATTTCATGCCTGGATTTTGTGATATAAAGAAAAAATTGTGAGGCCCTGGCCGGGTAGCTCAGTTGGCTGGAGCATCATCCCAATATGTCAAGGTTGTGGGTTCAATCCCCAGTGAGGACACATACAAGAATCAACCAATGAATGCATAAATAAGTGGAACAACAAATCCATGTTTTTCTTTCTCTTTATTTCTCTCTCTTTCTTCCCCTTCCTCTCTAAAATCAATCAGTAAATGAAAATTTTAAAGAAATTGTGAGAAAAGAACACTCTCCAGGAACCAAATCTTCTGCTTCATTTTTTACTTGTGGCTAAGGATCAAGCGCCTTAGAGTGGCAGAGACGCTCCCAGTGACACCTAAGCAACCACTCATCGACCTTGACCATGCTCACTTGCTGTTCTGTCTTCTAAAAGTAAACAACTTAGTGGTTTTCAGTATTTTATAGAGTTGTACAACCATCACCTCTTTTGAATTTCAGAATATTTTTATCACCTTAAATAGGAATTCTATACCCACTAGCAGTCACTCTCTACTCTTCCCCTCTTTCCTTAGCCATGAGCAATCATTTGACTACTATTTCCATGAGTTTGTCTACTCTACACATTTCATATAAATGGAATTATAGGATACAATGGCCTTTGTGATTGGCTTCTTTATACCATAAATACTTGATTATAATAGATTTTTCACCCCAAAAAAATCCTTCGAAGAGATGTTACTTCTTTGGAAACCTTATACAGACTTTCATAAGAAGAGAAAATTTCTCAATTATTTTGAACAAGAGTGGTATAGGCCAACATTTTAGAAACACTGATGAAAACCTGATTAATTATAATACTACATGGATACAAGAAATATCTTTTGTTTTTCCCTTTGTTAAATAAAGTTTGAATCAAAGAATTCTTTGAAATATAATTGTGGACAAAAGGCAGTATTTCTATGCTAACATAGCTTATAAAAGTCATTTCAAATGTTTACAAAACTAAATTAATAAGTTAAATATTTAACTTATTAATTTATAAGTTAAATTATATATATGTATAATTACTATTTCATCTAATTTCTTAAAAGTTTATAATCAAAATGTTCCTTCATTTGAAATACAAAGGAGATTGTTTTATATTCAGGATTGTTTTATATTTGAAATTATGAACTTCTAGGGTCATTCAAAGAGATGTTCAGATCTAAGGATATTCAGGTCTAAAATAATGGACTTCTCTTCTGGGATTTTAAAAAGTAGTTGAAAATCCAATCCAAAGCTAAATGTTGAAAGAGAAAATTAAACTTTCTAAGTATCTATACTAATTAAAGGGTAATACGCTAATTAGACTAGATGTCTTCCAAACGTCCTTCCTGAAAAAGACAAGGGCATGGCCAGCCTGCACACCACCCTTGGCCCCTTGCCCAGGCCAGCCCACCCTCCACTAGGACCCCCACCCTGATGGTTGCATGGCCAGCCTAAAATTCCCCTGCAGCCCTTTGTCCAGGCTGGCCCAGCCCAGTGGGAACCCCCACTCCTATCAGGGAGTCCTCTGACCCCTTGCCCAGGCTGACCCCACTTCCCATTGGGGACCCTCTACCCTGATTGGGAGCGTGACCGGCCTGCAAACCAACCACCTATGGCCCCTCGCCTAGGCTCGCCCCACCCTAATCGGGCCCCCACCTGTGCACCAGGCCTCTATCCTACATAATAAAAGGGCAATATGCAAATTGACCCTAACAACAGAACGACCAGAATGACTGCTGGACCAGTCACAAAGAGGCGTACTGGCCACCTCTTGGTCCCTTTCCCCAGCTGGCAAGCTCCAATACCTGATGGCCACCTGCTGCAGGGGCAGGCCTGGTGAGCTGGTAGGAACAGCCGACCTCTTGGTCTCTTCCCCCAGCTGTCAGGCACCGATCACCTGATGACAAATGGGGACCTAGGGGTGGGTAGCAGTGGGGGCAGGGCCGACTGTGGGCAGCTGGGGAAGATGGCCCTGACCTCAGGCCAGGCCTAGGGACTATACCTATGCACAAATTTTGTGCGCCATGTCTCTAGTATATTATATAAAATTGAGGTGATTTTATTGAGTAAAGATTTGTTCAGGTACATAGGAATCTTAAGGGTAGGTGCCAACTTTCATTTTACTGATGAATGGGACTCAAAGAGGCTAATGACTTACCCATCATCATATGGCAGGAAGGATACTGTGCTGCTTCTCCTCAGTTATTTCTTTGTCCTCCCATCAACCCTACTCACGTCCCCACTTTACAACTTGCTCAAAGTCATATAGCTAAGACACATAGCGAGGGTTCCACTCAGGTCTCTCTAGCTTTAGAGTCAGAATGCTCTTGACCATTTTGCTAAATAAGTCTTTAGCTCCTCATCAGAGCCCTTTTCCTGGAATCAGGTGGTTTAAAAAAACATTTGCCAGGTTTCAAATTCTAAACTAATTGATTTGGAACAGAAAAGTAAACATTAGAAGTTAGCAAAAAAATTAACAAAATAAGGGAAAGAGAACAGGTCTAAAATTATTTTAAAGTTCATAGATATATCTATTAAAAGGAGTAAGTTATTCACGTTTCAGTATTACCTAGTTAAGTCTCTCAGTCGGGTCACCTCGGCATCACGCTGACGTAATGTGATTCCCAGTATCTGATTTTCCTTCTCAACAGCCTCTAACTTAAACCGGCAGCTTTTCACATCGGCTAAGGCTTCCTCCAATTCTAAAACAACAAATAAGTTTCAGTTTCCTTATTCCTTTATTAAAATGTGACCATAACTACAGCTCAAATACATACCAATTTTTATTCTGGTTGTCTCAATGTCAAATTGCTGTTTATTTTCAAGTATAGTTTCATCTTTTTCTTTAAATATACCAGCAAATCTTTTGTTCTCATCTTTCTGATTTTCAATCACTTTTAAAAGCTCTTCATTTTTACTCTGTAGTAATTCCTGGCTCTTTAGTGATTCCTGTAATTGATTTTGAAGTGACTTATTCAATGATTGAAGGGAAAACACTGTAAGACAAAACAGATCAAATAATTGTTTCCCCAATTTAAAAAGCACAAACTTGGCCTAGTGGGTGTGGATCGATTCAGTCATTCAGCATTGACCTCTGAACCAAGTGGTCACAGTTTGATTTCCCATCAGGGCATAGTGGGGGGCGCAGGAGGCAACTGATAAATGATTCTCTCTCATCGTTGACATTTATCTCTCTCTCCCTTCCTCTCTGAAATCAATAAAAATAAAAATAAATTTAAACATAAAAAGTATAAACCTGGAAAAGAGTTACATTTAAAAAAGAAAAGGCTTAGAATATGTTGGTTTTACTTAAAAATTGCACACTTGAGCAGTTCTGTGTTAATACTAAATTATTTTGTTGTTTTTAAGTTGTTTGGCAGAAGTCATGCCTTTCCTTTCAAATAGTTATTTTGGGCATTAAAACATTTTTTTTTTTAAACACTTACTCAAGGATATGCTTAGAGAGAGAAAGGGAGAGAGACACTGATTGAGTGAGAAATATCGACCAGCTGCCTTCCATATGCTCCCCAACTGGGGATCAAACCTGCAACCCAGGATGTGCCCTGACCAGGAATTGAACCAGCAACCTTTCAGTGCATGGGACAATGCTCAACCAACTGAGCACTCCGGGTGGGTCTTTTTATTAGCTTTCTTTCTTTTTAAAAAAATATATTTTATTGATTTTTTACAGAGAGGAAGAGAGAGAGATAGAGAGTTAGAAACATCGATGAGAGAGAATCATCGATCAGCTGCCTCTTGCACACCCCTTACTGGGGATGAGCCTGCAACCAAGGTACATGCCCTTGACTGGAATCAAACCTGGGACCTTTCAGTCCACAGGCCGACGCTCTATCCACTGAGCCAAACCGTTTTCGGCTTTATTAGCTTTCTTAATGAAAGATTAATACACAATTTTTAAAAAAATTCGCACACCATATATTACCAATGATAATCATGATTCTCAGTGAAGTCTCCCTCCCGCCCCCCTTCCTTTATTCCCCGAAAGAGGCAATCACTATTAACTTCGGTATCTTTCTAGAAAATGCTTTTTCATAAAATAAATACAGCATGTTCCAAAAACATATATACACACTTTAACAGCTTATAAATCAATTGATATTTCTTCTCAGCCAGAATAAGCTTTGAGCAAAGGAAATTCATCCTAAAATGCTACTGGAAATTTGAAACGCATTGAAGTACAAACACTGCCTTTTGCGGGGGGACACCCTGTATCCCCCAAAAATGTATACACACTTTAACAGCTGGTAACGCACTTAATTTCCACTTCTTTTCAGGGTTCGCTGATTTGAAATAATGGGTGATGCCAAACTAAGTTTTGAACAAAAAACATTTATCCACTAGGCTTTTTAATGGGGATTCATAAAAGATAAAGTTTATGGTACAAAACAGCAACAGCTGCTGAATTGAGAGTGCACAATACTGAAAGAAATGATTCTTGATGTTTGCAAAATTATTCATTTCTGTACATTCTTTTAAATTTTGAAAATTAACTATATGTTACTAAACACTAACTTTATAATCATACAAAATATTGTATATATTATTTTTGGGACAATCTATATTTAAACATAATGAATCACATTATAATACAGCAATAGTTTCTAATTTGCTCTCCACCCCCCCCCGTAAGATTTTATATATTATCATAGAGCTATCACATTCCTTTTAAAATATATTTTTATTGACTTCAGAGAGAAAAGGAGAGGGAGAGAGAGAGAGAGAGAAACATCAATGATGAGGGAGATTCATTGACCAGCTACCTCCTTGCACAGCCCCTACTGGGGATTGAGCACATAGCCTGGGCATGTGCCCTGACCTGGAATCCAATCGTGACTTCCTAGTTGATATGTCCACGCTCAACCACTGAGCCAAACAGGCCAGGCTATCACATTCCTTTTAATGGCTATCAAAATATATGACACTACTTACTTAAAAAAAAAAAATGCAGCCTTAAGTGAAGGCTTATTTTGTTTGAGGCATTGTAATAGAATCTGGGTGTGCAGTGGTGAATAAGAGACAAGGTCCATGCTCTCAGGGACCTGGTAACAAGCAGGTAATATAAATAGCATAAAATGCTCTCAAGGAAACAACAAGTAAATGCATAGAGAATAAAAAGAGATAAGCTACTGAGAATGGAAACCACTTACTATATATACTCACATTCCCCCTCCCATCCTTCCTAAACCTATCATTTATTTAGAGTAGGATTCAAATGATCTTTCCCAAAATTACACTGGTGAAGTTGAACACATTTATGAGGTGTGTGCTCCGTTAGAAGAACTAATACCTATCCTCCTCAAACTATTCCAAAAAATCCAAGAGGAAGAAACATTTATAAGCTCTTTTTATGAGGCCAGCATTATCCTAATTCCAAAACCAGAGAAAGACACTACAAAAAAGAAGATTACAGGCTAATATCCCTGATGAACACAGATGCTAAAATCCTCAACAAAATATTATCAAGTTGGATCTAGCAATACATTAAAAAGATCATACACGATGACCAAGTGGGATTTATTCCATGTATGCAAGGATGGATTAATATTAAAAAATCAATAAATATGACATATCCCATAAACAAAATGAAGGATAAAAAGCATAGAATCATATCAATAGATGCAGGAAAAGCATTTGACAATATCAAGCATCCTTATTTGATAAAAACTTTAAGCAAAGAAGGAATAGTCAATCATATCTCAACTTAATAAAGCCCATATATGACAAATCTACAGCCAATATCATACTTAATGGCCAAACCAAAAGTGTTCCCTGAAGTTCAGAAACAAGACATGGATGTCTGCTTTCATCACTCTTATTCAACACTAGAGGCCCAGTGCACGAAAATTCATGCACTCGGAGTGGGGGGGATCGCCCTCACCCCAGCCTGTGCCTCTCGCATTCCGGGACTCCTTGGGGGATTGGGCCTAAGCTGGCAGTCATACATCTTTCTGGCAGCCTGGGAGCCCGTCAAGAGCCATTAGTCGGACACCCTTAGCACTGCCGCAGAGGAGGGAGAGGCTCCTGCCACTGCCACTGCACTGGCCAGCCATGAGCCAGCTTTTGGCTGAGCTGCACTCCCCCTGTGGAAGCGCACTGACCACCAGGGGGCAGCTCCAGCATTGAGCTTCTGCCCCTGGTGGTCAGTGAGCATCATAGTGACCTGTTGTTCCCAGTCATTCCCGCCATTAGGGTCAATTTGCATATTACCTTTTATTCTATAGGGTAGTACTAGAAGTCCTAGCCACAGTGATCCGAAAAGAAGAAATAAAAGGCATCCAAATTGGAAAGGAGGAAATACAATTGTTCACTATTCATAGATGACATGATATTGTACATAGAACACCCTAAAGATTTCACTGAAAAACAGCTAGATTTTTATAAATTTGGCAAGTAGCAAGATACAAAATTTACACCGGGAAATCAATGGCATTTTTGCACACTAACTAGAAGCCTGATGCACAAATTTGTACATGGGTGGGGTCCCCTTAGTCTGGCTGGCGATCAGGGCTGAATGGGACCGCGGGAGGTTGGCCTGGGGGAAGTTGCCAGCCATGGGGAAGGTTTGCAGGAGGTTGGTCAGCCAAGGAAAGGAGCTGTGGGAGATTGGCTGGTAAGGGAAAGGGGTGTGGGAGGTTTGTTGGCCGGCTTGGGGGAGGGGCCATGAGAGGGGCTGGGGACTGCCCTGACCATCAGGGGATAGCTCCTGCATTAAGTGCACTGCCCCCTTGTGGTCAGTGCATGTCATAGGGACTGATAGACTAGTTTGGCCATTTGGTCACTTAGGCTTTTATATATGGAGACAATGAATTCTCAGGAAGAGAACTGAAAAACCAATCCCACTCTAGCTGGATTGCTCAGTGGATCGTGTCAGCCTGCAAATTGAAGGGGCCTGGGTTCAATTTCAGTCAAGGGCACATACATGCCTGGGTTGCAGGTTTGATCCTCAATAGGGTTTGTGCAGAAGATCAATGATTCTCATCATTGATGTTTCTATCTCTCCCTCTCCCTTCCTCTCTGAAATCAATAAAAATGTAGTAGGGAAAAAAAAATCCCATTTGTCATTACAACAAAAGAAATAAACTGAAATAAACTTAAACAAGGAGGTAAAAGACCTATACTCAGAAAATTATACAACATTAAAAAAGGAAATAGAGGAAGATATAAACAAGTGGCAGCATACACTATGTTCATGGATTGGAAGAATTAACATCATTAAAATGTCCATATTACCCAAAGCAATCTGCAGAATCAATGTAGTCCCTATAAAAACACCAATGGCATCTGGCCTCTGTAGCTCAGTGGTTGAGCATTGAACTATAAACCAGAAGGTCGCAGTTCAATTCTGGTCAGGGCATATGCCTGGGTTGAGGGCTCGATCCCCAGTGTGGGGTGTGTAAGAGGTCAATGATTCTCTCTCATCATTAATGTTCCTCTCTCCCCCTTCCTCTCTTCAGGGAAATAAAAAAAAAAAATAGTTTTTAAAAGAAGGCACATTTCACAGATCTAAAACAAATATTCCAAAAGTTTATATGGAACCAAAAAAAGACCTTGAATAGCCTCAGCAATCTTGAGAAGAACAAGATAGGAGGGATCACAATATTGGATATCAAACTATGCTACAAACGCATTGTAATCAAAACAGTCTGGTACTGGCAAAAGAACAGTCATATAGACAAATAGAATAGAACAGAGACCCCAGAAATTGACCCATGGCAATCTGCTCAATTAATATTTGAGAAAAGAGGTAATAATAGCATACAATGGAGTAAAAATAGCCTCTTCAATAAATGCTGTTGGAAAAACTGGACAGGTACATGTAAAAAAAATGAAACTACCCTACCAACTTACACCATACACAAGAATAAACTTAAAATGGATAAAAGACTTAAACATAAGTCTTTTTGACAAAGCCATAAAAGTCCTAGAAGAAAATATAGGCTATAAAATCTTATACATCTCACGTAGTAGTATTCTCACCAATACATCTAAGGCAAGGGAAATAAAGGAAAAACTAAACAAATGGAACTATATTAAAGTAAAAATCTTTTGCACAGCAGAAGAAACATCAACAAAATGAAAAAGGAACCCATTATATGGGAGAACATATTCGCCAGTGATACATCTGATAAGGAATTGATTTCCAAAATATACAAAGAACTCATATAACTCAACACCAGAAAGACAAACAATCTAATTAAAAAACGGGAAAAGGACCTGAATAGATTCTTCTCCAAAGAGGACATCCAGATAGCTAACAGACAAGAAATAATGCTCAATTTCACTAGTCATCAGAGACATGCAAATTAAAACTACAATGAGGTATCACCACATATCTGCCAGAATGGCTACCATCATTAAAAAAACAGGTTCTGGTAAGAATGTGGAGAAAAGGGAACTCTAGTACACTACTAGTAGGAATGTAAATTGGCACAGCCACTCAAAAAATTAAAAATGGAACTGCCGTATGACCCAGCAATCCTACTTCTGAAAATGTATCCCAAGAACCCCAAAACACAAATCAAAAAGAATAGATGCACCCCTATGTTCAAAGCAGTGTTTATTTATAATAGCTAAGATCTGAAAACAGCCCAAGTGCCCATCAGTAAATGAATGGATAAAAAAAGCTGTGGTACATTTACACAATAGAAGACTATACAGCTGTGGGGGGGGGGGGGGGGGGGGGGGGGAGAAGCTCTGCCCACAGTGCAGCTCAGCAGCTGAACATCGACTCACCATTCCATTCCTGTTCAGGGCACATGCCCAGGATACATGCTCAATCCCCAGTGGGGATCATGCAGGAGTTGGCTGATAAATGATTCTTTCTCACTGATTTTTCTATTCCTCTCTATGTCTCCCTTCCTCTCTCTGAAATCCACACACACACACACATACACACACACACACACACACACACACACACACACACACACACACACCTCTTATCCTTTGAGATAGCATGATGGACCTGGAGACTTTTATGCTAAGCAGTTAGAGAAATACAAATATCACATAATCTCACTTATGAGTGGAATAAACAACAAAAAAACCTGACAAACTAAATAGGTTCAGAGACATAGATACATGGAACAGAATGACAGATTTCAATGGTGAGGGAAGTGGAGGGTCGAAAAGAGATTATTCAAAGAACATATATGCATGAATGCATAACCCATGGACACAAACATTAGTGTGGGGAAGGCTTGGGATGGAGTGGAGGTTGGGTGGAGGAAAGCAAAAAGGGAGAAGTTGGGAGACATCTGTGATACTGTCAATAACAACAACAACAAAAATCAATAAAAACGTATCCTTGCCTGGCCGGTATGGCTCAGTGAGCATTGACCTATGAATCAGGATTCTCTCTCATCACTGATGTTTCTCTCTCTCTCCTTCTCCCTTCTCTCTGAAATCAATAAAAACATATTTAAATAAACACATACAAAAAACATACTTGGGTGAGGATTAAAAAAGAGTAAGTCTACTTACAACAAAAAAATTAAGAAAGCTCAATTTTTATCAATATTTCCAGAGCCACAAGGAATTTACCTTGAATTCTTAAAGTTCCTTTTGTTGTTGTTTTTAATCTTCACCAGAGGATATTTTTTCCATTGCTTTTTCAGAAAGAGTGGAAGGGAGGGAGGGACACAGAGAGAAACAAAGATGTGAGAAAGACCCATTGACTGGTTACCTCTTAGCATGAACCTGCAACCCAGGTACATGCCCTTGACTGGGAATCTAACATACAACCCTTTGGTATATAGGCCAACTCCATAACCACTAAGCAACACCAGCAAGGGCAGTTCTTAAAGTTCTTTTACCTACATTCAAGGTTGCATTCCTGAGAACCATATGTCTTTTTACTTTTTCCTTGTTCTCTAAGTTGCTGGTTCAAAATTCTCAATTGCCTAAAGGAAATAATGAAAAAATATGAATATGAATGCAAGAACCCCAAGCTCGTTTAACAGTGTACACTTGACAGCCTATTAAAAACGGTAACACAAACAGTGGTACCCAAGAGGAGAGCAGAAGTCCATATCATCCCCAAAAGAAAAAAAGCACAAAAAAAACCCCCAACAAAACCACACTATTACCATTATTTGGAGGCCTGAGATTAAAAGGTTAACTTCTGATTTTTACCTCTTTACTTCTTAAATTCTTTCATTTTTAATTATTTCCTTGTTTTCCCTCTTTTATTTCCTATTTCTTCTTCTTCTATCTTCTCTGCATTTTCACTACTACAGCAATGATCTAGTTTATAACGTATCTGTCAAACTATATACTAGAATACCTACAGGTCTGACTGCTATCAGATATCTGGTTAGTTTGCCACATACTGAAAAAAATTGGGAAACTTATCTATGCTTTTAATAATTTCTTTGTTGGATGGAGAAATTAATGGCCTGTTTAAATAAAGAGAATGCTAATAAGCAGCAACTTTGCCCTACAAATGAACATCACACTATGTACAACTGCTTCACAAATATGAACATATGGAGGGAACTACAAGTGTTTTGCTTATAAGAAGTTAACATTAAAGGTTTTCTGTAGTATCTTTCGAGAATTACTTACCTGAAAGTATTCTGGATTATTTATTTTTGTCAATGAATCACATCATGTACTTGTGTTAATTCCAGACAGATTAAAGAACGAAACATAAAATATACAACAAACAAAACCAACTATACAAGTTTTAGAAAGAAGGCTATAACATCTTGAAGTGAGGAAGGCATTCCTAACAAGACTCAAAATCTAGCAACCATAAAGGGAAAGAATAAAAGATTTAACTATGTCAAAATTGGAAACTTAAAAAAATATATATAAAAAAAATATATATATAATATATATATTACATATATATATTATATATATATTGATTTCAGAGAGGAAAGGAGAGGGAGAGAGAGATAGAAACAGCAATGATAATAGATAATTGCTTGGCTGCCTTCTGCAAGTAGGGGTACTGGGGATCAAGCCTGCAAATCAGCCATGGAAAGATCTCCAAGACACATTATGAAGTGAAAAATACCTTCCACATATATCACAAACAAGAGGTCCATACATTTAACAAGCTCCTGCAAATCAGTAAGAAAGCTTAAAAAAGTGATCAAGGATAAGAATGGGTAATTCACATAGGTCTATTTCATAGTGAAAAATGCTCAGCCTCACTAATATGAAGAAATGCAGGTTTAAAACAGAAGCTATTGCCCTGGCTGGTGTGGCTCTATTGGTTTGAGTGTTGTCCTATGCACCAAAACATGGCCAGTTCAATTCTTGGTCAGGGCTCAAAGCCAGATTGCAGGTATGATCCCAGGTCAGGGTGCGTGCAGGAGACAACCGATCAATGTTTCATTCCCTCTCCCTTCTTCTCTCTAAAATAAATAAAAACATAGTAAAAAAACAAACAAACAAACAAAAAACAACCAGGAGATATTTTATGGTCACAAGATTAGTCAAAACACAAGGAAATAACATTATTTGTTGATGAGGAAAACATGGTATAGGGAAATAAATTATCTCAATTGGTGGTATAATAACCATTTTGGTAACAAAATGTAAACCGTTTCATAATCTTCAACAAAACAATTCTAAGTAAACTAGTCTCAGAAATAGCTATACATGTGCAAAACTTCTACAATCTTGTAAATACATATAAGGACGTTCACAACAGCAGTATTTAATACTGAGAAGTTGAAAATAACTGAAAATGGTACAAAAATTATTGTATATTCATACTAATCTTCACCACACATATTTTTTTAAAACACTTATTTTTACTAGCATGAATAGATCTCCAAGATACATTAAGAAGTGAAAAATAACAGACAGCAGCATAATATAATTCCATTAAAAAAACACACAATACTGCTTTTCTGAAGTTTCTCTTTGGCAACAGAGAGCAGATCTAGAAAAGGTAGCAAACTGGTCATCCATAACTCCAAATAGATCAATTCTTTTGGTATATTCCAGATAAACAGCAGGGGCCAAGGTCCTCTTACACACCAAGTAGGTAATAGAAGCTTTGCTTGGCAATCTTTTTATATGTCCCTGGTCAGATTCTTCTTTCGCCAACATAGCCAATTTAAACTTACCATTCATTACAAACCTCACATTTGTAATGAATATTTTTTTTTCATTACTTTCAACAGGGTATTTTCTCATTTTCACTAAAAAATAACATGGTTTGGGGACAAAATCTGCTATCCCTCTGTCCCAGGGTGTACAAGATTACCCATATGTGTACTAATCCTAACTTTTTATCTAGTCTCATCAACTACCTGGAACCCAACTCCTCCTAGGCCCTCAGGATTCTGCTCTTACTCCATTCCATTTATCTTCTCATCTGCAGCTTCTCCCTCTTTTTTGGCTCATGTGCCTGAGCTGAGGAGCATAATAAATGGCTCTCATAATTAAAAAAAAATTCCCTCCAACCTAACTGTACCATTGCTCTTCTTCTTCCGATTATAAGCTTTCAAGGTCAGCCTTTTAAAACATGATTGTTGTATTTTTTAAAATTATATGATAAAAAAATAACAAAAGACTCCTTTAGAAAAGTGTAATTATGCATGCTTTTAAAAATATATATTTATGGCCGAAACCGGTTTGGCTCAGTGGATTGAGCGTCTGCCTGGGGACTGAAGGGTCCCAGGTTCCATTCCGGTCAAGGGCACGTACCTTGGTTGAGAGCACATCCCCAGTGGGGGGTGTGCAAGAGGCAGCTGGTCGACATTTCTCTCTCTCATCGACGTTTCTCTCTCTATCCCTCTCAATTCCTCTCTGTGTAAAATCAATAAAATATATTAAAATTATATATATATATATATATATATATATACACACACACACACACACACACATATATATATATATATATATATATATATACTTTAACAAAGCAAAAGAACTGTTGACACTTAGGCAAATGTTTCTTTTTTAGTTAATTCATTCTTTTTTTAATCCTCACCTGAAAATATGCTTATTGATTTTAGAGAGGGAAGAGAGAACCATTGATGTGAAAGAGAAACATTGATTTTCTTCTATATGTGCCCCAATTAGGGATCAAACTTGCAATCTAGATATGTGCCCTGATCTGGAATTGAATCTGCAACTTTTCAGTACACAAGAAGATGCTCTAATCCTGAGCCACACCAGTCAGGGCAGTTCATTCATTCTTTTTAAATACAGCTTTATTGAGATAAATAAAACTACACATATTTAAGGCATATACTTTGATGAGTTTTACTCTATGATATGGTGAAGCCATCACCAAAATTAAGGTTTTCCTCACCTAAAATGTCCACATGCCCCATTTCATATCACTTCCTACCCACATAATCACTGATTTACAGATCAGTTTGGATTTTCTGGAATTTTATATTACACATATACACAATATATAATTGTATGGAATCACACAATATGTACTGTTAGCCTGGCTATTTCCACTCAGCATAATATTGATTCATCCATGCTGTTGCATGCACCAATAGTTCCTTTCTTTTTATTGTTGAGTAGTATTCTATTGTATGGTATCTACATTTAGATTGTTTTCTATGAACATTCAAAACAAGTACATATTCTTTCAATTCTGAGTAAAAACCTAGGAGGAAATGACTAGATCATATGGTATCTTTAATTTCTAAAGATACCATACAGACAGTCCTTGGGTGACGTTGGACTTGACATATGTCATTTTGTGATTATATCACCATCTCCCATTTACAATATTTATTTTTAAAAAGTCCCATCATTTTGATGTGAATATGTGCTCTGTGTTTTTTATTATTTATTTACCACAAGGTCAGGAATTGTTATCTTTAATTTTTTTTTCTGTTTCACTTCATTACTGCTGTGTGTGTGCTCCATGTGAGTGATGTAGGTGCTTATGTAGGTGGGTTCCAACTTACGGCAAAAATTGAGTTACCTCACAATGAAGGAACAGATCTCCAACGTAACCTGAGGACCTACTGTATATTTTATTTTATTATTTTTTAAATTTAATTTAATTTTTTTTTATTAAATCCTACTGTAATTTTAATATTGTCTAATACATTTATTCTGTTCTCTTTTTCAGGAACACTAATTATGCTAATTTTGTATTCTTTTGCTTCTCTTCCATATGTATCCTCTTCTTTATAATAATTTTTGGATTATTATTTTTTTACTTTGTTTTATCTTATTTCTTCAAGCCTATTTCCCATGTGTTCAGTCATTTAACAAGTATTTATTAGAGTGGGTGTTTGGCACAATTCTCAGCACTGGAAAAACAGCAACCAAAGAGAAAAATTCAGTTTCTTAAATTCAGAGAAGGTTACTGGGGGAGAAGGGGAATTACTGTTTATTAGGTACAGAGTTTATATTGGAGATGAAAAAGCTTTGGATATAAATAGTGTTATGAAAAGACAGCATTATGAGTATATTTAATACAACTGAAATGTATACTTACAAATGGTTAAAAAGAAATATTATATCATATACTTTATTACAATAAAAATAAATTAATTATTTTTAAAAAGGGTTTGAGAAGAAAAGCAAGCTAAGACTATTAGGAGACACTATTAATTTAGTAGGAACTGAAGCAGAAAGATTATTTGGGGGAGAAGAAAAACAAAACCCAAACAACAACAACAGTATTTATACTGCTTAGGTTCTTAAGGACTACTATTGTCTGATCTTCTTTAACAATTCCTTCTCTCTCTTACTCTCTGATCTTCTTTAAGAATTCCTTCTCTTTCAATATCTTTTTCTGCCTTAAAAAAGGTTCTATTAATTTCCTGGAGATTATGGAATATTCCCAAAGTTTTCATTGGGCAATCATCTTGTGATGTCTTTTCTTGATGCACCTTTGTCCCTTTTTACGTTGTGATCTCTCCTATAAATTTTTTCTTCCCATAGCTTTTGTAACATTCTTTCCTAGTTTTCCTGCTACTTTGCTATTAGTTCCATCTCAGATTCCTCTGCCTGTGTTAAAAAGCTGTTATTCCCCAGCAATTCACTCCTGGCTATGTTCACACTTTAAACCTTCCTGGTGAATTTACTACTTCTACACTGATAAAAAATCACTTAGTTTTAATCACCATGACTTCAGTGTCAAATGCAATGCCAATTAGTAAAAGCTCAATAAACATGTGTTCAGTGAATTACTCTCAAGTCTACATTTCTATCCTGAGTCATATTCCTATGTTCCATTTGTACCATACATATGTCCAGATGGTCTAAATGACACATTCAGCATGTCTAAATCTTAACTCACTGGCTCTTTCCCATTACATATTTGAATTCAAAAATAAAGTGAAATAAAAAACAAATAATATAGTCTTTCTCTGGAGCTTCCACCTGGAAGAATTATGTTACCATCTGTCAAATGATAAAATCAAAAGTGTGAATGCTACTGCATTTCACTTTTTAAAAAAATATATATTTTATTGATTTTCCACAGCAAGGAAGGGAGAGGGATACAGAGTTAGAAACGTCGATGAGAGAGAAACATCGACCAGCTGCCTCTTGCACCACCCCACTGGGGATGTGCCCGCAACAAAGGTACATGCCCTTGACCAGAATCGAACCCAGGACCCTTCAGTTCGCATGCCGACGCTCTATCCACTGAGCCAAACCGGTCCCGGCTGCATTTCACTTTTTGTTCTGCGTGGGTACATAATGATCTTATATTTTTATCTAAACTCAGGAAGTGGTCATGAATTCTAACTTGCTCTATAAATATTAAGGCATTCTCTAGCTGATGGCTCCTAAATGAAGTAGTACCCCTCCAACCCACATCCAGGAAATTTGAAAATGTGCCAGAGCTTTTGAAGGTCTCATGAATGGGGCACTGAAGATACTTTGTGGGTAAGGACCAGGAGGGCTAAATGTGGAGCTGTCTCAGGAATCCACATAAAAACTGTCCAGCTACCAATGATCCAATTGCCCAGTTGCTATAGAAACAATGCTCCTAGCTATTTTTTAAAGCCACAAGATGGCAATAAACTCTTAGAAAACCCTGAAAGATCACTTTCTGGCTAAAAAGAAAGATGTAATTGCTAAATGTGCAAACAGAAAGAAAACATTTTATTAGCAAATGCTAAAAAAAATTTTTGAATGAACCAATGCATTCCAACTTTCATCGTAAAATGGAGATTACAGATGATTCTTTCCAAATTAAGATTTCCAAAGAGGCACAAAAATTCCTACACTTGTGCTAGAAACCTCATTCTGCTAAAAAAGAGCATATATCTGACAAATTCTTCATTTTTTCAATAATTTCATTTTTAGAAAGTCAAGTAAACAGTTGGCAATATTATACTATACTAGAGGCCCAGTGCATGAAATTCCTGCACAGGGGGTGTGTCCCTCAGTCCAGCTTGCACCCTCTCCAATCTGGGACCCCTTGAGGGATGCTGACTGCCTGTTTAGGCCTGATCCCGGGCCTAAATGGGCAGTCGGGCATCCCTCTCACAATCCAGGACTGCAGGCTCCCAATTGCTCACCTGTCTACCTTCTTGATTGCCCCTAACCGCTTCTGCCTGCCAGCCTGATCACCCCCTAACTACTCCCCTGACAGCTTGATTCATGTCTAACTGCCCTCCCCTGCAGGCTTGATCACTCCCAACTGCCCTCCCTTGCAGGCCTGGTCCCTTCCAACTGCCTTCTCCTGCTGGCCATCTTGTGGCGGCCATCTTGTGTCCACAAGGGGGCAGCCATCTGTGTGTTGGAGTAACAAGTCAATTTGCATATTACTCTTTTATTAGATAGGATAATCTTAGTTCTCTAAGGACATAGAGCCAAAGACTCTGGTGCCAAATCTGAAGAATTAGTTCAAAATATCAAAATGATACATTTTAAAAGAATTAAAAGCAAATAACCAATAATGTGGTGAGTATTGTTTTCTAAAGGGTTTTATAAATAAGCTCCTAAAACAACTCTAAAATGTTCTAAGGAATAGAAATAGCTAATAACTATTGATATTTCCCATGATCAGAAAGTTAAAATAGTATCTGGGAATAAGTTCTGCTCATTTACTTAACCAATTATTTGATAGTGGTATCTTTAAAAACATGCTTGTTTATTTTAAATGGCTTATAGCATATTCTTTTGTTTCACAAAATATACCTAAATATTGAAGTATAAATAAGTTAATCCCTATTTCCTAGCAGAGGCAATGTAGAAGTATAGAAATTAAGATGATTATGCTCTAAAAAATTCAATCTGCCCAGGTTTGAGTCTTATTTCTGTTACTTCTTAGGTAGGTGATCTTGGGCAATTTATATAACCTCTGTGCCTTGATTTCATCTGTAAATGAGAATAACATGATACCTACCTTATAGAGCTGCTGTTAGAATGTAAAGAGATGACACGTATAAAAGTTGTTAAGCCCTGGCTTGGTTGTGTGGCTTGGTTGGAGCATCGTTCCAGTCTGGGCACCTATCCAAGTTGCAACTGGATCACTGGTGGGGGCATGCACGGGAAGCAACCCATCGATGTTTCTCTCTCACATCAATGTTTCTCTTTGTCTCTCTCTCTCCCCCTCTTCCTCCCTCTCTTTCTAAAATCAATAAAACATATCCTCGGGTAAGGATTTAAAAATAAATGTTAGATGTAGTACTGGCTTTTAACATTATTATTATTTACATTTGGTTTTGATTTAGAAAAACTAATCCTATTATTATAGATTATTTAGACAAGAAATGAAGACAATAGTATTAAGAATTTAAACCCCACAACCCTATCATATATCTCAGTATCTAGAGACTAAAGATTATAAGAGAAATAATCCTAAGCAAGTAAATCACACTGGATGTGGTGTCTTTGCAGGCTCCATATCCAGGAACGTAAGCTACTTTATAACTAAGAATCCTACTCTATTGCTTTCCAATTTCTGTGCAGGTCCTTCCAGGTCCTACCTATTGATACAACATTTACAGCGCATGCAACTGCAATGCCCCCTGAGGGGAAGAAGTGCTCCAGTTCTCTGCAAACTATATTGATAAACAGACAATGAGGTGGTGACCTTTGTGGTTATCACTGAAACAGTCAAATTTAAGATATTATTGATAATATGTTAAGTGATTTCTAGATTTCAAGATCAGGTCCCTGGTTTACATCTTTTCTAAATAAATCTTAAAAAGCAATTGAAATGAGTTGTTTTTCTATCTACTTGTGATGGGGCTACTGGTGCTCAACCCTATCAGGCTCTCCTTTTCTGAATGGGAAATATGGGGAAAACTTATGTCCCAGATGTTTAGATAAGGCAGGGCCATATGCCTCCTTTCAGCCTACAAAACATACGAAATGAGATTGTTCGTATCCATATTCTCCTTTTCCTGGAAAACAATGGCCTTATAATAAAGGGAAACTAAATCCTGAGCCATAAGATGAAAGACAGCCTCTGATGACCCATGTGGTCTTGCTGTGCCAGAGAAATAAACTTTTGCTATGTTATGCCACTGAGATTTTGGACTTTGCTTCTGCTGCATAGCCTAGCCCTTGGTCAGCAAACTTGCAGCTCGTGAGCCACATGCAGCTCTTTGCCCCCTTGAGTGTGGCTCTTCCACAAAATACCATGGCCTGCACGAGTCTATTTTGAAGAAGTGGCGTTGAAGAAGTTTAAGTTTAAAAAATTTGGCTCTCAAAAGAAATTTCAATCGTTGTTCTGTTCATATTTGGCTCTTTTGACTAATGAGTTTGCCGACCACTGGCCTAGACTAGCCTAAAAAATACCCTGAAATATTTCATTTTGCTCTCTATACACCATCAACCAAGAGATAACAGAGGTGCAAGAGTTGAAGGTAAATATGTAGCAGTAGGCAGAAGTAATGGAAATGTTAAAGAATGCTAAGCAATGTTTAAAAAGCGGAGGGAGGGGGTGAGGCAGAGAAGCAGAAACACAGTGAAACAGTAAATCTTTTCTGATGGGGCCCTTTGTTCTGGCCATGGGACATCTCTGCAATAGAGACAAAAACATTCAGAGCAATTCTCACCTGCGTAACTGAGCATTTTCACTTCTTAGTGGTTGCATGGCCAGTGCTATTTCAACTTGACTATTTTTGTTTCCACTTGTTGCTGGAAGTAGAGATACACATGCCTCCAATTCTGTAATCAATCTCTGAATTTCTGAATCCTCTACAAAAGGCAGAAGAAATGAGTAAAAACATACTGTAAGTTGGTTTTGAATAAGATTATTTATGTGTATTACTAGATAAGAAAAATTTTCAGATATGTACATACGTTATAAATAAATTCAATTATTTCTAAATTTAATACACAGACCCTATTGTCCTCTTTCCTGCTGGTTGCCTATTCATAAAAAATCTAAAGAAATTAAATTCAGACACTAAAGATTAATCTTAAACCACAGTATTGTTATATTAGTGATATTCCTCAGTTGAAGTGTCTAATAGGAAGATAGTTTACACTTGTCTCTTAGTTCATACTGCCAAAGGACTACTAGAATTCAATAATTGCTATTGGGTTTCTTATAATTAATACAGTGTTCATATCTACAACAATCTTTTATTCTATTGCAAATAATTCACTTTAGGAAATTCAATTTGGCAAAATATTGAGATAGGGTATACTAAGATGACGTTTTTATTATTTAACTTTATAAAAGAGATTTATTTTTATTTTTAATTTTTTAATTAAATTTTATTTTTTTATTGATTATGGTATCACATAATTGTCCTCATTCCCCCATTCCCATCCCAAACCCCTCCCTAGATATGCCCCCCCCCCCCTAAAGGAGTTTAACACAACTAGTCACACCTCATTTGATAGCAATACCCATTCTTTTTATTAATTGGGATAACTGGATGGTTTTGGAGGTGGCAGACACAGGTAGAAGGTGGAATTTAGATCTTTTTGTCCTTTATTTTTCTTCCTTCATTTCTATTCAAATATTTTGTTGACTGAAAACATTTGATAATTATAATATTAACTATCTGATACCTAAGAGAGATAGGAAATATATTCTGTCACAAAAATAACTCATAGATATTTTAACACCCTGATGCAAAGTTTATGCACACAGTAAACAACTATGCCCAATTATTAAGCAGTCCTCTACCAATCATTTGTACCATGGTTTCACTCATAAATATTGGAGCAGTGACATGAGCTCTACTACTTCCTAGCAAAATAACTTTAGTCAAATTACTTAATTCCTGCAGCCTAAATTCCTTCATAGTACCTTCATGGTTAAAGGTACTATCCTCCAAACCTAGGTTTCCTCATTTGTTAAATAACAGCACCTCAGGGGGTGGCTCCGAGGATTAAATGAGATAATGCACGTAAAACACTTAGCACAGTGTCAGGCACATGGTGAATGTTTAAGAAGTAATAATGAATACTGTTACTATCATTATTGTTACTATGATTTGGTTAACTGACAAGTTACAGGTCTGAAAATTAATGTATCAAACCTTTAGAATAATAGTGCTATATTCCTATAGATATTTTTTAAAGCTTTGATATTTTGTCAGTCTGCAAATATTAGGCATTCTATCAGTGCTTCTATAATCAATTACTACGCTTTCTAAGATGACAACTCTGTAACTCACTTTAAGCAAAAGCCATTATTTAGAATACACACACATAATGCAAATCAATTAATACAACCTGGCTCAAATATCTCATAATTCCACCTAAGATGTTTTCCTTGATCTAATTTTAAAAAATCCCTAAAGTTAAATGAAAAGGGCATAAAAAGGTTTGGGTCACTTCTCACAGTGAGATTTTTAAGCATTAGGACAGTTGGTTATTATTAAAGAAACTAGAGGCCCAGTGCACAAAATTTGTTCACAGGTAGGGTCCCTAGACCTGATCGGGCCTTCAGGGTTGCTGGTTGGGGCCTCCCTTCCCCAGCTGCCAGCTGCTGCCTGGGGCCTTCCTTCATTCCATGCCACCCCCTGGTGGTCAGCACATGTCATAGCGAGGGAATGAACTCCCAAGGGGACAATTTACATATTAGGCTATTATATATATATAGATACTCATCTACCTTGTTCTGCTACTAGGGCCTTCAGCTCTCCCAACAAATACATTATAGTTCTAATTTTTTCATCACTCTCGTTCCCATTTTTTGCTTTCTGGACACCCTTTATTCTTGAATCTTGTACATGCATATTTGAATCCTTTTCCTCAGTTGTGGCCTCTCTTATTTGTTCTTTGACACAATTTTCTTCATTAGTGGGCAAGGAAGTTGGCAGTAATAGAGTGGGGCTTCGGTTTGTCTGATGGTTAGGTTGAGAATGTAACAGATTCATATATGTTTGGAGACACTTTAATAGTGGCGTTCCATTGGCTGAGTCAACACTAATGTCTGATTCCTTAGGAACTTCTTGTTGTGGCAGAATTTCATTAGCAAGATCCAGCTGCTCAAAAGCTGGAATAGCTGGTTTGTCAGTTTGAGGCAGGCTACACTGAACTCCAAGACTAGAACTGAAGGAATTCCTTAGAATATCAGTACAGTTCACAGAAGTTGTGTTATATTGTGATACAAATTGGTCATCAGTCTGAACTTCCTAAAGAAAGAAAAAAACAAGTTTCAAAAATGTGAGCACTGACATATTTTTTTTTAATGTAAATTCACTTACTTTGCAATATGAGAATATTATAAAATCACATTTAAAATAGACTATTTATAAATATCACACATGGTTTAATGGAAAAGGATAAAAATTAGTCTAATTAGAGACTAAAAAAAATTCTACTTTGGGAAATTTAATAAGAAAATAATCTCAGATATATGAAAAGCTTTTTGCACAAACTTATAAAAATGTTATTGTAGTAAAAACTATTGATTAAATGTCTGCCATAGGAGAGTAATTACACAGACTAAAGTATTTCCACTAAATAGAATATAATCAACTTATTAAAAATTTATAGGATGTATATAAATAAACATGTTTACAATAAAATGTTAAGTGAAAAAAGCAAAACATAAAAGTTATACATTTAATTATAGCTATATTTTTAAAAAATCAAAGTTAACAAATGAAAACCAAAAAACAAAATCTACACAGAGAATTAAATGATTAGAAAACACTATATCAATGTGTTAACATCAATTGTGTTTGGGTGGTGGGTAAGAGTGATTTCTTTCTTCTGTTGATCTTTTCTCCCACTTTTCCCTCACCATTGTTCTTAAGAAATAAGTAAAACAACTTGGGTAATAAAAAATAACTTGGGGAAAAAAATCACTGGTCTTTATACATCCTAGGGCATTAAGATACATACAATCAATAACTTTAATTTTCTTTCTAAAGATAACAATTTAGCCAATTACTTGTGTAGTATATAAACTGTACCTACAGAATGAACCATTGAAGGGAAGGGTGACGGCTGAGGTAACTGGACTGGAGTGGAAGTAGATAAGCTATAACTAGAATGTGGAGTGGTCTGAGATTCTATGAGGCAAGAAGGAGAGAAATATCACTCACATCTCATACTGCTCATACAATAATCAAACAACTTAATTACAGTTTATATTCATGCTTTTAAAAAACTTCATACTAACCAGAACCAGAAACAGTGTGGCAAAGTACAGCAGGAATTCCATTAGGGTTCGTCTTTGAAGCCAAGTTGTTCATCTGTGACATTTGAGTCTGCACATGCTCACAGAGAGCTTGATAGATTATGGGTGAATACATTCTGTAATGATCTTGAAAAGACCAATTTTGCGGTATTGCTGATGAGTCTCTTTCATGTCCGGCAGAAGTTTCATTGGGTATCAGTTTCTTATAATCTGAAGATACTAATGTGGAAGAAGGAAAAAAGATTCTGAAAATAATATTCTTCAGAAACTTTTATCATGAGACATTATGGCCAAAATAACTTTCCAAAGTAGCTCAACTCATTATAGTCTTTACAGAAGGGTTTTACCACTATCATCTCTAAAGAAAATTACCTCATCTTCTTTTGTTATTAATTCTTGTAATCAATTAAATTGCACAGTAAAAAATGATCTAAACTATCTCTTTAAAATCTCTATTAAATGGTATTTGTCAAATTTCCCATTCAATTACAAGACCCCCTGCCCACCCCCCCATAGGGTGTTATTTCTCTCTAAAATCCAATAAAATTCTTTGACTTTGGCGGCAGGGAGGGAAGAAAGAATGAAATTTTAAAACCAGAAAACTCTGTAACAATTCTGATGCTTTGACTGTGAAAATATCAAAGTTTTGAAAACAAGAACAAAAGAGGACTTAATCTACATTCTGGGCAATGAAACAAAACCCTAACCTGACATTTAAAATCTTCAAAGCTTGACCATAAACTACTTTTTCAAACATTTTCCCATCATTCCCAGTTTAATTTTTTTGCTCATCAGGCCCATTTAGACTCCCAACAAGCCTTTCCATCTTCCTATAACATTACTCATGACAAAGCATTTCTTCCAATGCAATTTTATCTGCTCTCCAAGGCTCATCTGAAGGCTTCCCTTTTCTATGAAGCCTTTTCCAATCCTTCCTGGCCACTGACTGCTCTTCAAAATCCCAGAGCACATATTGTTTATACAATTCATATATCACTTGCAGATTACACTACATTGCTTATCTCCCACTCTCTTGTCTATCTGCCAGGGGTCCTCAAACTTTTTAAAGTGGGGGCCAGATCACGGTCCCTCAGAGAGCTGGAGGGCCGGACTATATGAACTACTAATTCCTACTGTAACACCTCGGCTGCGCTCACTGCCCAAAAAACCTGGCGGGCCGGATCAGACTCCTCTGCGGGCCGCATGTGGCCCGTGGGCCGTAGTTTGAAGACGCCTGGACTAAACTAAGCTTCTTAAGGCAGAACTGTATGTATTTTATACTTCATTTTCTCCCAAAGACCCCTATTAGTCTATGTACAAAGTAGTACAAAGCAGTAACCTGGCATTAGTTTGTTGTAGAAAAAAAACAGTTTTCCACATAGCAGTACTCTACAGATCAGTATGAAACTCTATATCCCTGTTTACTAAGTTCTCCTTCCCAAATGTTTTTTAAAGACTATTAACAGAGAAGGAGAACCAATATGGCAACATAGGTAAACACCAGTACTTGCTACTTCCCATAATCACATCAAAATTACAACTAAAATATAAAACAACGAAGATGCTACTAGAGGGGGAGGTAAGATGGCAGAAGAATAGATGGGCGGATTCTGAGCCCTCTCCCGAAGCAGAAAGAGAGAGCAACTGAGGGTCTTGTGCTGTGAGTGTTTATTGGCAAGCTGGGAGACAGCGAACACCAGAAGAAACTGCTGGGGGGCCGCTGACAGAGGTGCCCTTCACAGGGAAGCACCCACGCGGGCTACGTCCCTGCCCGGAGCTACCTACCAGCTTGGACGGGAAACCTCGCCATCTTGAGAGGAAGATAGGATCCTGTCAGAGGCCTGAATATCCACAGCCGCAGCGACCACCAAGCATCTGTGACCCCCAGAACGCAGATCCCAGGCAGCGCAAACACCTGGCTGCACTGGAGTGCTCCACTGCGAAAAAGGTCAGATTTCGCGGGGAGAGGGTGGAGAGTGCTTGTGGCGAAGACAGAAAGCCCTCGCGCACAGAGCGCGGAAGCTGGAGGACAAGGGCGGTGATTACACGTAGAAAGAAGCCCCAGCTGTTGGGCGGTTGTCACCTGTGAAAGTGGACGGGGCTCCTAACAGGGGAGATATCTAAAGAGTAACACATTTGGATCTGCCTTGGAGGGATATTGGAGAGTTGCGGGAGATTGCAGTTGCTCGGACCTGCCCCTCCCCCCCTCCTTAGTTCCTGCTTCAGAGAGGGGGGGGGGGCGGCGCGGGGGGGGGGGCGGGGGGGGGGGCGGGGGGGCTGGAGAGGCTCTAGAGCACATGTGTCAAACACAAGGCCCGCGGGCCAAATCCGTCCTGCCAGGCCTTGCAATGTGGCCCGCACCGCGCTGTCATCACTGCACTCCGCTGCGTTTCCATCACAATGACAGTTTATGACTGTTCAGTAAACCATTCGGCCCGCGATTTAGGCTGGATTTTAGATTTTGGCCCCTTCTCTGATTGAGTTCGACACCCCTACTCTAGAGTCTGGGAAGTCAACCTAGAAACACTGCCCCCAGAGGCTAATCCACAAATTGACTCTAGTGTAATAAAAACAAAGCAAAACCTGCCTAAAACTCAGGACTGGATCATAACAATAGAGGAAGCGAATGACCTTCATTACTGCAAATTTTATTTAAATTTTTGAAAAAATTTTTTTTTAAATTTTTAAATTTTTGTTTTTTATTTTTGTTTTCATTATTTGCAACATTTACTAAGAAACTTTTTTTTCTTTTTCCTCACTTGATTTTATCATTATAATTATTACATTGTATATGTAATCAACATTATTACTACTACTAATTTACCTTTTTCATCTTATTTTCTTTTGTTTCTTTTTATTATTTTGATTATATATATATTTGATTATATATATATATATATATATATATATATATATATATATATATTTTTATTTCAGGATTACTGTTCTACAGTCTTTATCTATCTTTCCTTCTCCAATGCTTTATTCTATCTCAACCCTACCTTTATGCTTTCACCTTCTTTCCGATCTTTTCCTTTGGTACCCCGTTTATCTTAACTGCTGTAGATTTTCCCCATTCCTTCTGTCTACCCCCTCCTAAAATTTCACCCTACTTGTATATATCTAATTTCCAACTACCTGCTCCAAACCCATTCACACCTCCCTCGCAGTTGTCCTAAAAACAAAACAAAACAAAAAACAGTCTTTCTCTCTAACTCTTTGAAGTTGTATGTTGAATGTTAACTATACTGAAGTTGTATGCTTTTTGTTATAAGATTGATTTGCCTATGCTTTTTGTTTGATTGTATGTCTTTGTTATTCTGGGTTCTAGTCAACACAACCACCCTTATTGGTGGCTATTAATATTGCAAACACATTTCTATTCAGTGCCTTGTGTGTTGTACATGGTTGTACATGGTTGTGTTGTATTTTGTGCCTTTAAATCAAAGCAGGAGAGAGAGAACTACACAACCAGACATCCTAGATCATGGGGAGACCAAAAAACACCCCGCATATGAAAGAAAAGCAGGCTTCACCAGAAAAGGAAGTAAATGAGATGGAGGCAAGTAAATGAGATGAAGGCAAGCAACCTACCTGAGCAAGAATTCAGAGTAATGATCATAAGATGGCTAAAAAGAATGGAAGACAAGTTTGACAATATGAGTAAGAACCAAGAGGAAATGAAGAAAAACCAAGAAGAAATGAAAAATGACATTGCTATAGTAAAGAACTCAATAGAAAGCATCAAGAGTAGATTAGAAGAAGCAGAGGACCGCATCAGCGAGCTAGAAGACAAGATGGAAAAAAATACCCAATTAGAACAACTTCTAGGAAAAAAAATTAAAATACAGAAGGAAAGTCTAAGGGAACTTTGGGACAATACAAAACAAAACAATATTAGAATAATAGGAGTTCCAGAAGAAAAGGGAATTGAGGAAGACATGGAAAACGTATTGCAAGAAATAATGACAGAAAACTTTCCTGAGATAGAGAAGAAAAAACCCACACAAATCCAAGATGCTCGCAGAGTCCCAAGCAAAATGAACCCCAGAAAACCAACCCCTAGGCACATTATAATTAAGCTGGTAAACACCAACGACAAAAAAAGAATTTTAAAAGCAGCCAGAGAGAAACAGAAAGTTACATATAAAGGAACCCCCATCAGACTAGCAACTGATTTCTCCACAGAAACTTACCAGGCCAGAAGGGAATGGGATGAAATATACAAAGTCATGCAAAGGAAGGGTCTGAATCCAAGAATACTATACCCAGCAAGGCTATCAATCAAGATTGAAGGGGAAATCAGGAGCTTCACAGACAAAAACAGACTAAGGGAATTTATCTCCACCAAACCAGCAATGCAAGAAATGCTAAAGGGTCTACTGTAAAATTAAAGAAACAGAAAGCAAAGAAGGAACACAGGGGTATAGAATAAAAATGGCGTCAAATAAGTATCCATCAATAATAACTTTAAATGTAAATGGACTAAATGCTCCAATCAAAAGACATAGGGTGTCGGATTGGATAAGAAAACAAGACCCATATATCTGTTGTCTACAAGAAACCCACCTCAGAAAGAATGATGCACACAGACTGAGGGTGAAGGGATGGAAAAAGGTTTTCCAGGCGAATGGAAATGAAAAAAAAGCTGGGGTAGCAATACTTATATCTGACAAATTAGATCTCAGAGTGAAGGACATAACAAGAGATAATGAAGGCCACTTCATAATACTAAAGGGAGCAATCCAACAAGAAGAAATAACCCTGGTAAATATATATATGCACCCAACACGGGAGCACCCCAATATATAAAAAAACTGCTGGAGCTCATTAAGGGAGAGATTAATAGCAATACAATTATAGTAGGAGATTTTAATACCCCACTATCACCCTTTGACAAATCATCTAAACAAAAAATCAGCAAAGAAATATCAATCCTAAATGACTCGCTAGACCAGATGGAATTACCGTATTTTTCGGACCATAAGACGCACTTTTTTTCCCCCAGAAGTGGGGGGGAAAAGTCCCTGCGTCTTATGGTCCAAATATAGCCTACACATATACTTAAAAAAAAAAGTTTTTTTACTTGCCCGGCTCTGTGTGGTCTCTGTGTGCTTGCCCGGCTCTAAAATGGTTCTAAATGCTACTTACTTTACAGGGTTGATTACATGTGTTTATGACTGTGATGTTGGGTTTTAATGCACATAAAATATTTTAGG